CCGGAGCGGATGGGCTCGCTGGAGTCAGCCCGCCGGATGATGCATTTCTTCGGGGCTGAAGGCTCGTCCGCCTCGGACGCCTCCTCGACCGCCCCCTCGGCCGTCTCCTCGGCCATCTTTTCAACAAGGGGACCCCCGGCACCGCTGCCACTGGGCCCCCCAGCAGACTCCGCCCATGCGGCAAGCTTTCTCTCCTCTTCGGCCTCCTCAGCCTCGTCCTCCACAGTGCCAAAGCTGCCGGCCTCCTCGAGAAGTGTCGCCTCGTCCAACCTGGAGGCAATGTACTCCATCTCCTTCTCGGTGGTGGGGCAGATAAGCCACGGTTCAACACGGATGTATCCTTCCAACAAATTGTCGAAGAAATCCTGCACTATCTCTGCTTATGGCTCAACCCAGAACGGGTCAAGGCCGTGTGCGTTGAATGCCGGCATCATAGCGATGATGGCGGTCAGGCAAGAGTTATTGCTCAGCGGGACCACCCCCGCTGGCAACTTGAATGGCTTGTCCACCTTGCCGGTCTTGGTGGCCTTGCCGGACTTCTCGGCCTCGCCGGCCTCATCAACCTTGAGCTGAAAGAGCCGCTGGAAGAGATGCGCGTGCTCGATCACAGTGAAATTGAAATTCAAGCTGGGGCGAAGCCTCATGATATCGGCCGCGTTATTGTAGTCCCAGGCCGGCCTCCCCTTGTTGTGAAGAGGAGCGATGTGGCGGCGGGTGAAGTCGGCCCCGATCATCTCGAGCGTGAGCCCGGTTGCAGTGAGGCAGTGGATCCTGGTGATGGCAGTCATGAGCTTCTAGTCATTGGCATCGAGCTTGCTCCAATCATCGTCGCGGACCGGCGGCTTCTCACGGACCTGGCAGAACTCCTGCGAATCTTTCTCCTCGATCCAGCACCACCAGCCCCGCATTCATCCCACTTGTCCTTTGTGAAGCCCTGCGGATACACGCCCTTGCTATGGGCCCTTGGGATCCAAGTGACGCAACCGGTGATGGCGCCCCCCGTCTGGATGCGGGGGACGAAGTAATGGCAGAAGAGCGCCGTATTGGGGTGCACCCCGACAAAGCCCTCACAGAGGATGGCGAAGAAGGCCATGCACGCTATGGTATTCGACATAAAATCCAAGAGGTGGAAGCCGTAGGTGTGCATGATGTCATTGAAGAAGTCGGAGAACGGGGGGTAGAGCCCACAGGAGAAATAATCAACAAAGAAAGGATATCTGCCTGACCCGGGCTTGGTGAAGCGAGCAGGGATGATCTTCGTGGCAGGATGCCCTGACGTCTCCCTCCCACACAGGGGCTTGAACTTCTCCCTGAGGGCGAGCGCGTCGACCGTCAAGACGAAGAGGGCAAACTTCTTTCGCAGCTTCACCAGCTCGCTCTCCGGCATCTCCTTCCCCGCGGCGGCATTAACCACTCCCTTGCCCTTGCTTGCTTTGGGCGCCATGGCGACTGAAAAGAGGCGAGGAATCGATAAGCAACGGAAGCATGGCGGCGGCAAGCAGAGGCGTGAGGCTCTGGTTTTCTCTCAAGGAAGAAGAAGGGGAACAACGGTTCCTAGATTGGGAAGGGCGTAGGGGGTAATGAGCGGCGCCCCTGCAGATTCCTCTTTTATGGGGAAGGCACGTGTTGCCCTTTTTACAATTAACTGCGAAGTGACGCAGGCATGCTACGACCGCCCCATGCATGATCCCCACGTCACACGTTCAACACGGATCATGGGGAAGCGCGACTGGCGAAGAGATCGTGGAACATAAGTCCCTGCCACGCGTGTCCGCGCACTGCCTTGGGCCTGGCCCAACTATGCCTTGCACTCACGTGTGGCCCAGGCCCGGGGGCTCCTGTCGGTGTACAGAAATAAGGGTTCTTTCTATACCCCTTACTTGTGCACGGGCAGTCGTAGCCACGTCTGTGGCCGGGCCCGGCAGGACAGCAGAAGACAGAACACAAGACTGCCAAGACAACACTCAGTACAGAGAACAAGGAGCAGAAGACAAGTTTTACCTCCCCTGGCAACATCCTTGCCGGGGCGGCTTGCATCTTGCCGGGGCAACCTACGCAGCACCAGCAAGCCCATCACCCTTGAGGCTGAGAGTTCTGACACCATCGACAACGTTAAGACCAAGATTTGGGAACGCATGCGTGGTAGCATACGGATCTTCATGAAGATTGATGGCCTGCGGGTCCACGTGGGACCAGAAGATGAAGACCCCCGGCAAGACCCTTGCCGGGGACGACGCTGAGGCCCCCGACAAGTCTTGCCGGGACGATTGCTGGGCCGCGGCCAGGCCCGCGCCCGACAGGAATCCGCCACCTCACCACCACTCCAGTGCGATGACCAGTGCGCCAACTAAGCAGGCGCCTGCGTGGCGGCTTGCAGATTTTCGCGGAGGCTCTACCATCGTGCCAACACAGCAGCCAGCTAGCCAGCGTGGCACTGCATGCCTCGTCAGCCTGGACGCGTGTCAAGGCGAGGAGGGGCGGTGACGGACGGGTCGGCTTCTATTACCGTCCCCGATAAAGTAAGAGGGCACGTAGGCAGCGCATTAAATGCGTTTGTCCTACGGTGCCGAGCGATAAACTCAGACATTGTAGCTTGCTTTCCACCTCCTGTGTGCCACTGTGGCGACCCCTTTTACGTATAAAAGGAGGCCCAAGGCGTACTGAGAGAGGATTCATACTTTTTGGACTGTGCATGCATCGCAGGTAGTTCAAAAGCTCAAGAACACATATATCCAGACAAGCAGGACTAGGGTATCACGCATCTTTGCGGCCCGAACCTGGGTAAAAATCCCCTTGTGCTGACTGCTAGACCTGCTGTTCATGCAGGTACTCTCACCGCCGAATGTAGAAGGGATTCCTGTGATCCCATAGGTGTTCGTTTCCCCCAACAACCTCCTATTCCGCTTCTCGGTTATGCGTGCAACTCCACCGGCTCCGCCTTGTAGGCAACCAAAGCTGCCTCCGCTTGAAGGCGCACACACAAATCTCGTTTTGGTTGTGAACCATGGAGGCAGATATGGCTTCCGTTTAGGCGGGTGAGGCCACCTAAACGATTTCGCTGGCAAAATGAGGTTGCGCTGCCATGTGGCCAGGCGGGGGTCACACGCCATGATCCACCGGCCCCGGCAGATCCTAGCGCCATCTTAGTGAGGGCAATGGATTCCCGCTGGATCGATGAAGACCGCGGGCGGACTCACTCCTCTGGGAGCATCGGAGAGTAGTGCGGACGACCATCTGCTCCTCTGAACTGCAAGGTATGAGCTCCTAGTCCTCGGATCTGGAAATCTTAGAGTCGGATCCCGTGCCCGTCATGAAGGAGTACGTCAGAGAGGAGTTTGGGTACTGTGGAAGGCGCGTGGAGTGGAGTGAAATGCAACTAGGGTTTCGTCCGGAGTATGGATAGGGTTAAATATATGTGAGGTCGGATGATCACAATGGACCGGATCCGACGCGGCGGACGCATCCGGCATATATCTGCCTCAGATATGAGCGCGTTTAGGGAGTGCCCGTCAGTCTAGATGTGAGTAAATTGCTGAAAGCCACCACATTTGTGGCTGAGATACTACAAAACCACCGCTTTTGTCCAAAGTCACAAAAAACCACCAACTCTGTGGCAAGTGAATAACAAATCGCACTAATTCGAAACTAAGCGCGTCTAATAGCAAAACTGACGGGTGGGACCCGTCTATCCGAGCTGACGTGGCGAAGACTAGTCCTAGTCAATGGTTGACATGATGAGATGGACGGGGGGTCCCACCTGTCAGTCACACCTCCTCTCTTCTCTCCTTCTTCCTCCCCACATATCTCTCTCGCTCACTACCAATAGCGCCGCCCCTCCCCGCCGCCTGACACCGCCCCTCTCAGAACGCCTCCCCACCGCTGGGCGCCGGCCGAATCTAGTGCGTCGTAGTCATCTACGCCCGCTGCCCCTCCCCGCACACAGTCCCCTCCCTGTTCGCCCCCGGGCTCGCAACGGCGACCACACCAGCGCCGGGCGGAGGGGGCTCAGATCGAGCTCGAGCTCGGCTCTGGAAGCCCCGCCGCACTGTCCATGGCCAGATCAGGCGACCCTGGAGCCCCGCCTGCCCTATCGTTTGCGACCTCCTCCACAGATGCGTGGCGGCACCGCCTGTGCGGGAGCGGGGCGGTGGCGCTGCAGGCGCGGACTCGGGATGGCGGCGGCCGGGGGTGACGAGACTGCAGGCGCTGTGAGGGGCGGCGACGGCACAGGTGTAAGTGTGGGGCAGCGGCGCTCCAGGCGGACGTGGGATGGCGGCGGGCGCGTGGCGGCGGCGCTGGAGGCGCATGCGCGGGGCAGATGCGTTACAGGCGCGGGGCAGCGGCGTTGTGGGATGGGGCGGGGCTTGCCGGCGGGCGCACCTCCTTGAGCTCGGCCTCCAGCCGCCGGTGGAGTTCTTTGTTTGAGCCGGCCGCCGGTGGAGTTGATGAGAAGGCGACGGAGAGAAGTTTGAGGAGGAAGAAGAAGGTGTTAGACAGACAAGTGGGACCCCTGTCCACCTCAGCTAGTCAAACATTGACTAAGATTAGTCTTCGCCACATCAGCCCAGATATATGGGTCCCACCCATCAGTTTTGCTATTAACGCGGCTTAGTTTCGAATCAGTGCGATTTGTTATTCACTTGCCACAGAGTTAGTGGTTTTTTGTGACTTTGGACAAAAATGATGGTTTTGGAGTATCTGAGCCACAAATGTGGTGGTTTTCAGCAATTTACTCTCTAGATGTTAAATTTGCGTCTGCGGAGGGACCGGGCTGCCCGGCGGGACGTTTGGGCGGATACGAGGTCCCGTTGTAGATACTCTGAAACTTTGATGAGGTTCCCAGATCACCGGGAGGCTCTACCGCTCACTTGTCGGTGGGCAAGTCTGCCTGCCCCGTCCACCACCAACATCGTCCCGCGTCATCGCGCACGCACGGGAGGCAGCAATGGCACGCCACCCGTTCGGGCGTGCCCCACGCGGCCCAATTGTTGAGCTTATCCATGCGATTCATATTGGCGATGACGAGGCTGCAGCTCGCGGTCGCTGTCGCCGTGGCGCCCGGTCCTCCGGGTTCCTGTTCCACTTCCACAGCAGTTCGACGACCCCCGCGCCATATCTCGCGCTGCCGGGGCCTCCTTCCAGGCGGACGTGGATCCTCTGACTTTACAATCCCTGCCATACCCTGCCTTTGAGTCACTGACAGGTGGGCCCCATGCTTTGTGGATCCTCTGACTTTGCAGTCCCTTCCAGGCGCAATGTCGGTCGTCGCCGCTGCCGCCTCCATTCACCCCAGCGCCACCGCCGACGGGTCCCCGCCGCAGATGGCGACGACGCGTCTCGAGCGCGGGTCCCTGCTGGTCGGCGGGCGCGAGCTCCTCTCCCAGTGCCCGCCCGAGGTCACCCTACGCGCGGCCGTCGCTGACGCCGCCCCGGGCGCCGCGTTCCTCGGCGCCAGCGCGGCGGCGCCGTCCAGCCGCCACGTCTTCTCCCTCGGCACCATCCCCAAGTAGGTGGTCACCTAAGGCTTGTTATGCTTGCGCAGCGCGCGCGTCGGTCCGAGATACTAATGCTCGTGGTGGTTGCTGTGCAGAGGATGGAGGTGGCTGTCGCTGTTCAAGTTGAAGATCTGGTGGATGGCCCCGAAGACGGGCGCGGACGCGGCGGGCGTGCCGGCGGAGACGCAGATGCTGCTTCTGGAGAAGAGGGGGAACGGGGCCGAGGACGCGGGGTACGCTCTGATGCTGCCAGCCCTCCATGGCGATTTCCGGGCTAGCCTCCAAGGGAGTCCCGAGAATGAGCTCCAATTCTGCTTCGAGAGTGGTAGGCAGACTTCACCTTGACTTATGAATGTTATGGTGCTTGGCTCAAATTGTGCGATGCTTGGAATCTTAGTGGAATGGTCGACTCTTTGCTAGGTGATCCTGATGTGCAGACGAAGGACGCTGTTGATGCGGTATTCGTCAACTCAGGGGATAATCCTTTCAAGCTTATTAAGGAATCAATCAAGTAATGCCATACTCAAAGAGTACTATATTACGACTACAACGGCATGGATTTTATTTGTTCTATGTGGAAGTGGCTCACTTGCATCTTCTGTAGGGTACTGTCCAAGATCAAAGGAACTTTCAGTCATATAGAGAGCAAGGAGGTATATATATAAGCAGGTTTTACACTTTTATCACCTAATAATTAGACTAAGGTTGTTGATCTTGGACATATCTCAATTTATTTGATTGTGACAAGTCTTTTGTAAATTTGCTACAAATGTCAGACCCCTGCAAACTTAGACTGGTTTGGATGGTGCACTTGGGATGCATTTTATAAAGCTGTCAACCCAGTAGGGATTGAAGAGGGCCTTCAAAGGTATACAAGAATTGAGTTGATCTTTGATTTGCAGGTGTTCATTATGTAATTTGCCGCACCCTTCATTTTTATTTTTTTCCTGAATACACCTCCTTCATTTGATAATTGCCATTTACTGATGATGCTGTCCCTGTAAAATAGTTTGCGTGAAGGAGGCGCACCACCAAGGTTTCTGATTATAGATGATGGTTGGCAAGAAATAGTTAACGAATTCAAGGAAGTGGATGGAGCTCTTGTTGAAGAGACTGTGTATGTATATCAGCCTTTGCTAATACATACAAAAAAGAGTGTGTGCTACGTCTGATTTTCATCTTAACATTGCCAGGTTTGCAGAGAGGCTGGTTGATCTGAAGGAGAATGACAAGTTCAGGGGAGAAGCCTGCAAGAATCTGGGAGATCTTGTCAAGAAAATCAAAGAGACACATGGAGTCAAGTACTTGATTCTTATTGCAATACTTTACTATATGCCTAATACTCCCTCCGTCCGGAATTACTTGTCATCAAAATGGATGAAAATGGATGTATCTACAACTAAAATACATCTAGATACATCCATTTCAATGACAAGTATTTCCAGACGGAGGGAGTATATAAGTAAAGGTCATCTTCTACTGAGCAAAATGTTGCATGTGAAATTTCAGGTACGTCTACGCATGGCATGCTTTACTTGGGTATTGGGGAGGTGTCTGTACATCATCGGACGTGATGGAGAAGTACAATCCAAAACTAGTTTACCCCGTCCAGTCTCCTGGTGATGTTGCAAATTTGAGGGATGTAGCCATGGACAGCTTGGAGAAATATGGAGTTGGTATCATTGATCCTGAGAAGATATATGAATTCTACAATGATCAGCACAGTTACCTTTCTAGTGTGGGTGTGGATGGTGTGAAGGTAGATGTGCAAAATGTGATGGAGACTCTCGGGCATGGCTTCGGTGGTCGTGTTGCATTAACTCGAAAGTATCAACATGCTCTTGAGGAATCTATTGCTCGGAACTTCAAAGGAAATAATCTAATATGCTGCATGAGTCACAGTTCAGACCACATCTATAGGTAAATAATCCAGTTGTGAACATTATGAGCTATGTACATAGAATCTGACATGACCCTTCACTGTTTGTAGTGCCTTGAAGAGTGCAGTTGCTAGAGCATCAGAAGATTTCATGCCACGGGAACCAACACTGCAAACTCTGCACATTGCTAATGTAGCATTCAATAGCCTTTTATTGGGAGAAATTTTCATCCCGGACTGGGATATGTTCCAAGTGAGTTTATTGTGCACCCTTTAGTTTGATCAGCCACATTTCTGTACTTTAGTGTCAGCTAATTTTCTCTCTTTCTTTCTGATGTAAAGAGCAAGCATGAAACAGCGGAATTTCATGGAGCAGCTAGAGCTCTAAGTGGAGGTGGTGTTTATGTCAGGTGATTTTATAGCGCATTTTCTTCAGGTGTGGTGTTTGATTTTAACCAAATCGTGCTTGCTGTATAAATTTCTCCCCGTATTGATATGCAGTGACAAACCAGGAGTGCACGATTTCAATGTTCTGAAAAAGCTTGTTCTACCAGATGGCTCGATTCTAAGAGCAAGGTATGCTGGTCGTCCTACCCGCGATTGCCTGTTCAATGACCCAGTCATGGATGGTAAAAGGTATACACACACCAATTTAGCTTATCGTCTGTCCGCTGCTAATCTATTTGACGAAGAATACTAATTCATTAACTCTTGGGCAGTCTGCTGAAAATATGGAACCTGAACAATTTGTCTGCTGCTGTCGGAGTATTCAATTGTCAGGGAGCTGGAAACTGGACTTGGTTAGTCGAAGAAATTTCACATGTTCCCACCGCCGTTAACATAACCGGTCAGCTCTCGCCATCAGATGTAGAGTCTCTCGAGGAGATTGCTGGTGATGATTGGAATGGAGAGACTGCAGTATATGCTTTCAATTCATGTAATTTTTCTTTAGCTACTCATTTCTTATTTGCAATTGTGTCTTATCCATTGTACAGCCAACATCATAGTTAACTTTTGTATTGCAGGTTCTCTTTCAAGGCTCCAGAAGCACCAAAGTTTGGAGCTGTCATTGGTCACTATGACATGTGAGATCTATACCATATCACCGATACAGGTCAGATTTCTCTCCACCCCATGCTTACGTTTGTTGAGCCTAGTTTGCTTCATATTCTTACAGAAACATTCATTTTTGCACCAGGTTTACGGTGGGGCTGTTCGGTTCGCACCACTTGGACTGCTCAACATGTTCAACTCCGGTGGCGCACTCGACAGTATCACAGGCACAGTTGATTCTTCGGCTACGACAGTTCAGATCAAATGCCGAGGGCCAGGACGTTTGGGGGCGTATTCATCTGCTAGGCCGGCACTCTGCAGAGTTGATGCGCATGAAGTAGAGTTCAGTCATTCTGATGATGGCTTGCTGGCATTTGATCTCTCAGATGGATCTTCCCACAGCAGCCTCTGGAACATCGAGATTCTCTACACAGCCTCCTGAACACCTGAACCTGTATGTGACCTTGATGTCTCTTGTTGCAATTTCTGCTCTGCGCCATTCATTTATTGGAAACCAACTACTGATGTTTACACCGTGGTGGTTTCTCCGTAATTGCTGCCTCCCAGCTTCAGAAATAATTCCTCTGCTCACCGGATTTAGAAGTATGTTCTTTCTTACCATGTCGCGTCGTGTTTTCGTGTGCGTATGCGTGTGTGTTTTCTGTGTCGTTATGGCTGTTATTTTCTGTTGGACACAACTCCACATTAGAGATTTATGTAGATCACTTTTTATGAGATTATTTGGTCGAATGAACGGACGGATTTTGCAAGATTGGGGCCATCGTGCTCCAGTGCCCCAGCATTCATTCAGTTACCTGAATTCTGAAGGATATTACTCCAGTTCTAGAGCAGCTTCTCTCGTCCATCTCGGCGCCTTTGCAGCTACAACGGATGCGTGCACCTATACAATTATATATGTCGGTCCTACCGGTACCGATCAAAGCGAGCGAATCTTCGAGCTCACGAGTTTCACAGGCAGCTCCGCGAGCATGCTATTGGCGGCGACGCTCCTCGTGCTGCTCACCAGCTTGAACCACTGGCTCTCCGGGTCGCAGCTGTTGTCCGCGCTCAGGCACCGGCATGGGCTGGTGACCACGCTCTGGCCGTCCGCGCCGACATCCAGGCAGAGCATGCCGCCGCCGCTGCCGGAGCCCGACGACGACGAAGACGACGCATTGACGGCGACGTGCAGCTTGGAGTCCGACACGAGGCGCCACCGGGACATGTCGTCGTCGCACGGCGTGCCGAGGAGCACGGGCTGGCCGGCGCCCTGCGCGTGGAGGCACATCAGCGGGCTGTCACGCAGCGCCAGCCGCCCCTGCTGCGGCGCGTACTCCCACGCCTCCGTGTCGGCGCACGCGCCCAGCTCCAGCGGCTGCGCCAGTGACCGCCGCAGCACGCACAGCCCCGTCGCCGGGTGGAACAGCACTGTGTACGGCTCCGCCTCCGCGTAGCCAGGCCCTGCAAACACGCACACCAACACCGTGAAATTAGTCGCAAGCTCACAGGCCGGCCGGGCAAGACGAACAGAGCAGACCGCGGCGGGCGCGAACCTCTGAGCGGGCGCTGCAGGGGCTGGACCCTGCGGAGCGCGGTGTCGTTGCGCGGCCTGGACCAGGCCCTGTCGAGCACGCCGTAGACCTCGTCGAGGTCCAGCACGCCCTGCCGGAGGTAGTAGCTCCCTTGCAGCGTCCAGAGCGCCCAGTCGAGGTCGAGGTCGGCGGCGACGGCGGCGGCGCAGCCGTAGTAGCGGTTGTCGTTGGCGTTGCCGCCGCGGTTGTCGACGCCGAACTCGCTGAGGAAGACCGGCCAGCCCTGGTCGAGCAGGTAGAGCGCGCGGCGGGACACGCTGGCCCCGATCCGCGCGCACACCTCGTTGGGGTTGCCCGCCGCCCACTCCTGGCCGTTGGAGAAGCTGTACCAGTGCACCTCGAACGCCGCCTTCCGGGCGAAGCTGAGGCTCACCTGCCGCGAGTTGAGGAACGCCAGGTCGTTGTCGAAGCTGAGGCCGGAGAGGATCACCAGCACCCGCGGGTTCGCCGCGTGCACCGCCTCCGCGCCGCGCTGCATGTACCTGCGTTCGTGCGCCGCGTGCGTGCATTGTCAGTGACTCCGTGTCAACCCAGCTCAGCTGCATGTGCCATGACACTATGACGGGGCGGGCGCCATGTGTGGGAGTACTAGGCTTTGTCCCTTTTGCTCGAGGCATTGAAAGCTCATGCCTCCGGAGCAGACGAAGGACTACTGGTGGTTCACTGAAAGACTGATGCTGTCTGTTGGACGGCTATCCTATCACTTGCAGTAAATGCCATTACTGTCTCTCACATGCTGTGCAGGAGCAGCAGTTGGAGATGTAAAGCCAGCGGCCAACTACTACTAGGTTGTTCAGGCTCATTTACTGGCCCAGGACATGCACATGATCAAAATCTCAATGTCGTTGGTGGCTCAACGCGCATTGCCACACGCACTTGAGACTTTTATCATCACCGACATGGTCGACATTAGGAATAGGATCGTCAGTTCAACAGTGTTTACTGGTAGTGATAATAATTTTGGTTTGGTTTTAGTGATCAATCTAATCAGGGTAGGAGAAAAGCACTTACTTGTACCAGTCGTTTGAGTTCTGCCTGGGGCCTCGGAGCTCGTTCCTGAGGCTCATGCCGACGACGTGGGGGACGCCGGCGAACATGGTGGCCATCTTGGTGAGGCCGTCGACCCAGACGTCCGGCTCGAAGTAGCCGTCGCCGAAGAACCCGTTGCCGTCCGAGTTGTCGCAGCACCACCCCGGCTTGCTCACGTGGTTGTCCAGGATCACCATGACGTTGTTCTCGCCGAGGCTGCTCACCACGGCCTGTATGTATGCCATGCACACAGCAACAGCTTGACACCAACACAAATTAAGTGCACTATTATACACTAAAAAGATTTACGAGCTTGCCTTGAACGCGTCGATGAGCTTGAGGTCGACGACGGCGGGGTTGTTGGCCCTGATGCCGGCGAGCGACTCGGTGAGATTGAGCCTCTGGAAAGACTGCTCGACGGTGAGGGACGAGTAGGAGGCGTTGGTCACCAGGAACGTGGGCCAGGTGAGCCGGACGCAGTTGAACCCCATGGCGGCGACGTCCCCGGCGATGGCGCCCACGGGCCGCTTGCCCAGCCCCTCCGCCAGCATCGGCTCCAGGTGCGACGGCCAGTTCACGCACGCCAGCTTCACGCGGTCCCCGGCCTCGTCCACGACCCACCGCGACGCCGTCGACAGCGTCACGGCCGCCGCCGGAGCATGGTGAAGCGCGCAATGCCACGCAAAGCCGAGAGCCAGCCACGCCGCGAGGAGAGGAGAACGCCTCACCCTCCCCATCGTCGCCATGGCGATGGGAGGCCGGGATGGCACGGAGGGCGGGCGGGTGTATATATAATGCCACACGGTACGTGGTGCAAGCTAGGTTGGCTTCGTCATGGGCCTGTGGAAGGAGGGCGAGGCTTCAAAGGAATAACTTGGTGGTGACATTGAGACGGGTCTTGACATGTGTGAGGGAAGGGCTTCAAGAGGGTGACTAGCGCTTGCCGATGTTTCAAGAATGCAACAACTATTTTATAGTGCTTGAAGGCACTGCGACGAGATCAGTGCTGTACTGCTCCTAATTCGCAACTCGGCTGAAAAGGAGATAAAGAATATGGAGGTCGGTAGAGGGTTGGAGAAAAATGGCCACCTAACTCCTGCAGTTTATATATGTTTTGGGATGCCTAATGTCGAGCGGTGCTTGTGTCGGGTAACATGTACTTTGCCCGACAGTTGATTTATGCGTGGGTTTTGGAAGGAAGCACCCCGGAGGACATTTCATATTTTACGTCAAGAAAAACATACAGTGTTGGATGACTGACGCTTTTGGCTTGTTATTCATGCGGATTATTCTTCTAGTGGGACGCAACATTCTTAGTGAGGTGTATGTGGTGACTTTCTCAGTTTTGAAGCTCCACAACGCGATCCGATCTTCGGTAGGCGAGATGTGAGTGCATGTGTGTGGTGTTGTCAGTGCTTTTGGCTTCTTATTAACAAGGATTTTTTAAATGAAAGGCAACATCCGAAGCTCTGCAATATCGATCCGGTCTTCCATAGGTGATATGTGAGTGCATTAGGAAGTGCCAACATCATCAAAATCATTGAGGGCATCTTTAATTGAAAGGATTTCTAATCATTAGGGATTTTTCTTACTGCATTGTTTGATTCATAGGGTTGCAATTCACTGGGATTTTTGTTAGGATTTATTTGTACTAAATTTCATAAGAAAATTGACATCCACTCCAAATTTATATGCAGCCTCATGGGCCCATATTGGTGCGCTCCCTCCCAACTTGGAGGGCAAGCCAACTTGTGGCGTGGGGGAAGGAGATCACGGAGAATCCGCTCACCTTGTGTGACAGCCCTAGGAGGGGAACTACACCTACCCAAGCCGCACCGCCCTTGTCCTCTTACAAATAGAGGGGCTTTTCAATCAAGCCCGTTGAACAATCGGAATTGATGTGCGTACGATGAATACCGCATACGACTTTCGTACGATGTGATTCCACTCCTGCGTGGGATTCATCGAACGGCTGATGAGGCTGTCGTACGTAAATCATACAAAAATTCGTCGTATGTGTAGCAGGACTCTTGAACAATTGTGTGAGTCGATGGTTCCTCTCCTACTAGGTTGAATTACTATTGCGACACTATCATCAGTAGGGTAAAACTAACCTGTCTCATTACGACCTAAACCCATCTCACGTTCCATATTGGTGGAAGAACAATCCAACACTTGGTGAATTCTGCTTCACAATGATAGAAAGAGCCGACATCTAAGGATCAAAATGCAACGTCGCTATGAACACTTGGCTGTCACAAGCCAGTTATGAGGGGGTGACGGTGCAGATTCCCGTCGGCAACGTTGGTAGGATACCTACCGTGGTTGGAAGTCACAGATCGAGGATCACAAGGGGAATTAACCTAGGTCTGGGCCTCCATTGAGGAGTAATACCCTACATCCTGCTTTGTTGTTATCTACAGATGGTGGGTATATCTCGTGCGAGGGATTACAATGGGATGAATGAGATACTACCGGGAGTTATTCTACCAGTGAGTAGATGGGAATGAGAGCTCCCTAGCCTCCGCTCAAGCTCCTTAATTTTCGGCAACAAAACAGTCTCGTCAAGATTAAGCCTGGGTAGGTCAAGTTGGCTGGCATGAAGACAATTGAACAACTCCAATAGGCCAGCCTTGATGACATCCCATAAATTCTGATAGAATTCTGCGGGGAAGCTATCCGGTCCTGCAGCTTTGTTATGTTCCATTTGGAACACTGTAGCTCTCACCTCCTCTTTAGTGAAAGGTGTCGTGAGTATATCGTTCTCTTCTGTCTTGACTTGTAATATCAACTGTTCGGGTCTCATCAAGGGTGATTTTAC